GGGTGGCATAATGGTCTAAAATGACCATTTTTCTTAGTCATCATGGCTTTTCTCATTTCTATGGGCCCAGGTTTCTCTGCTTCTTCCTTGAGTTCTTGTAAATTCAGGGTGATATTCTTGCGCTACTGGAGCTCCAGTGGCACAGTCAGTTAGTGTGCAGTTCTCATATAAATAGTTGCTAGTTGTACTTTTGTGAGGAGGAGTGATGCTGGGTGGTCTTTTATTGTGCCATCTGCTGACATCACTGTGTTGAACGTTGATGTTTTAAATGCGTTATGTTCATAAAAATCCTTGGTGGACTTTTGTAGCTATGTTTAAGAATGTTTTTCCATACCAGCCAACTGCCAAAAAGAAAAAAAGAATGTTTTACTGATATAGATAAACTGGTTTGGATATAAGGATTAACTGGGAAAAATAATTCTTTCAATTTTCAAAATTAATTTTATAAATGAATTAATTTTATAATATCACAAATGAGTTAATTTTATAATTAACTTCATAAGTGAGATTCAAATTTTCACTGTGTGAAAGTCACCTTTCATACGATTTCATTAGTAGAGTAGAATAGGTAGCTAAGTATGCTTATATTTTTATATTATTGATGTGCTCAGGTTAGTGTTATCAACCTCAAGCTTGAATCCTCAAGAGTACAGAAGAAATAGTTGAGGCTTTTAAATGCCAGTTTTTTATGTTTTCTTCCTTACCATTCTTTATGAATATAAAGGAGCATTGCAGACTTACTTTCACACTGATCTGAATTGTTCTTCCTTTCTTTAATTTATTCAAAATGCCTTTCAAAAATTATCTAAAATAAATACATGTATATGCAAACAAATATTAAAACAAAAAAGTGGGTATAAATAGCTCACATCCATTAGATTATCCTTTTCTTTCTTACCATCTTAAATTTAAATTGTACATTAAAAATTTTGACTGTTGCACATAATTCTATAAATTATAAACTGTGTTACACATAAATCTATTTCTTGACCTATTAACTTTATCTTTAGAATTAATTAAAAATGTATCCATTTTTAACAAATTTGCACACCATCTGGACCTATGCAATTTCTCTCTTCCTACTCCCAGAGAACCACTGACATCTCGCAGCAATTTTTCCTGGTATTTATCTCCATATTTTTAGGTAATACTTTTTCCCCCTACTTTTTCTTAAATTATCCATTTTAGATGTTATTTATTGATAACACGATGATTTATTCATCTTCCAACATACCACTTGCTTTTCCCCTTACCAGTCAAAAATAAATAAATAAATAAATAAATAAAAACATAAAAACATGTCCACACAAAAAGTGTGTATAAATGTTCATAGCAGCATTATTTATAATAGTTTATACATAGAAACAACCCAGATGTCCATTAGCTAAAGAATGCATAAACAATATAAACAAGGTATGGAACATTGATGTAACAGAATATTATTCAGTCATAAAAAATGAAGTACTTATACATGCTGTTATATGGATCAACCTTGAAAATATTATGCCAAGTGAAAGAAGCCAATCACAAAAGACCACATACTATACATTCCATTTATATGAAATGCCCAGACTGGGCAAATTCATGGAGACCGAAGGTAAATTAGCAGTTGCCAGGGTTGGGAGAAAGTGAGAATGGAGAGTGACTACTAATGGGTATGGGATTTTTGGAGATATAATTATGCTAAGTGATAATTGTACAACTCTGTGAATATATTAAAAACCACTGAATTGAACACTTTAAGTGGATGAATTTTATGATATGTGAATTATATCTCAATTAAACGTTTATAAAATACTTACATGTAGGACAAAATATGGCAGAATAAGATAATTGTTAATAACTGAGTTATGGAGCCTGTAAGTTTTTGCAGGTAGAGTGGACTTTTGGGCCAAGAGGTCTGTGAGTGGTTCATGTATGATTGTCAAAGTCATGGATGTGGATGTGTTCCTCCCAGGAAGACAGTTGATGGTGAGGGAAGAGCCTCCAGGACAGTCCCCAGGGTCACTGGTGTCTCTCTGCTTTGGGTGTTGCATTGTGCAGGCCACAGTGGAGACTGGCACAAGGGCTTTTGGTCCCAAGTCCAGTGGGCTTTATTCTGTCCTTTATTTAAAGTCCACTGGTAATGCAGCCATCCATTGTTATAATTTTAAATTTTTATGATAATGTTTTGACTTCTAGGAGTTCTGTTTCTGGCAGTCACATTCTAATTCCAATTCTATTATTCTCTAGGGTTAACAATAACAAACTTAAAAAAAATTTACTATGTTCCAGATACCATGCCAAGCTCTTTTCAGAGAATATTCCTATTTAATTCTCTTAGCAATTCTGAGAGATATGTACAATTATCATTCTTGCCTACAGGCACTCAGTTCCCATGTGGTGAAACAGGATTCAAACTCATATGGTCTGGGTCTGATTCCAGAGCCCGTGGCCAAGGTCCTGGCCATACTGTCTTATTCTGTCCCCCCCACTATGGCTGTGACCTCAGTGTCAGGCTGAGGTAAAGGGAGAGAAATAACTCTNAAATAAATAAATAAATAAATAAATAAAAACATAAAAACATGTCCACACAAAAAGTGTGTATAAATGTTCATAGCAGCATTATTTATAATAGTTTATACATAGAAACAACCCAGATGTCCATTAGCTAAAGAATGCATAAACAATATAAACAAGGTATGGAACATTGATGTAACAGAATATTATTCAGTCATAAAAAATGAAGTACTTATACATGCTGTTATATGGATCAACCTTGAAAATATTATGCCAAGTGAAAGAAGCCAATCACAAAAGACCACATACTATACATTCCATTTATATGAAATGCCCAGACTGGGCAAATTCATGGAGACCGAAGGTAAATTAGCAGTTGCCAGGGTTGGGAGAAAGTGAGAATGGAGAGTGACTACTAATGGGTATGGGATTTTTGGAGATATAATTATGCTAAGTGATAATTGTACAACTCTGTGAATATATTAAAAACCACTGAATTGAACACTTTAAGTGGATGAATTTTATGATATGTGAATTATATCTCAATTAAACGTTTATAAAATACTTACATGTAGGACAAAATATGGCAGAATAAGATAATTGTTAATAACTGAGTTATGGAGCCTGTAAGTTTTTGCAGGTAGAGTGGACTTTTGGGCCAAGAGGTCTGTGAGTGGTTCATGTATGATTGTCAAAGTCATGGATGTGGATGTGTTCCTCCCAGGAAGACAGTTGATGGTGAGGGAAGAGCCTCCAGGACAGTCCCCAGGGTCACTGGTGTCTCTCTGCTTTGGGTGTCGCATTGTGCAGGCCACAGTGGAGACTGGCACAAGGGCTTTTGGTCCCAAGTCCAGTGGGCTTTATTCTGTCCTTTATTTAAAGTCCACTGGTAATGCAGCCATCCATTGTTATAATTTTAAATTTTTATGATAATGTTTTGACTTCTAGGAGTTCTGTTTCTGGCAGTCACATTCTAATTCCAATTCTATTATTCTCTAGGGTTAACAATAACAAACTTAAAAAAAATTTACTATGTTCCAGATACCATGCCAAGCTCTTTTCAGAGAATATTCCTATTTAATTCTCTTAGCAATTCTGAGAGATATGTACAGTTATCATTCTTGCCTACAGGCACTCAGTTCCCATGTGGTGAAACAGGATTCAAACTCATATGGTCTGGGTCTGATTCCAGAGCCCACCAAGCTCTTTTCAGAGAATATTCCTATTTAATTCTCTTAGCAATTCTGAGAGATATGTACAATTATCATTCTTGCCTACAGGCACTCAGTTCCCATGTGGTGAAACAGGATTCAAACTCATATGGTCTGGGTCTGATTCCAGAGCCCATGGCCAAGGTCCTGGCCATACTGTCTTATTCTGTCCCCCCCACTATGGCTGTGACCTCAGTGTCAGGCTGAGGTAAAGGGAGAGAAATAACTCTCTTACTGCAGAGTAAGTCTGGCTGACTTTTACCCACTGGACTCAGGTGCTGCGAGCTGTGGAAGGTAGAGGAGCATTTTGTACCCCACTCTCTCACCCTCATTTTACTGGCCTGTCTCACTGCCCTCCATTGTCAGGTTGATGATATAATGACTTCAGATTAAAGATGGGGAAGGGGAATCTTGGAGCATACAATAAAATCACGTGTCAATTTCTTACAGCTGTGCCTATTTTAACCTTGACAAAAAAAAAAAGAAAAAAGAAAAAACAACACAATATAAGGGTAGAGATGCACATAAAACATTAAAAAGAAAATATTTTATTACTAGATGCTTTTGGTTTTAAATACAGCAAACATTTCTTGAGCACTTCTTTTGTACAAGCCACAGTGCTAGGTACTCTGCAAGGCAGAGATGAGTAAAAATGCACCTTTTGACTTCATAGAACTTGTGGTTTAATAAGAAAGACGAACTTTAGACATTAGCTATAATCTGAGTCAGAATTAAAATAGAGTATTAAACACAAAATTGTAATTGGAATATGGAGTTCGGACTGGAGGATGTGTCTGAACACATTGGAGGACATTGGAGATGTGTCTGAAAGGACATTGGAGATGTGTCTGAAAAAATGTGTAGGATGTGATGGAGGAAGCGGAAAGTGGGCAGAGGTGGGCCCTGGCACAGAGGGTAGGAAAGTGTCTAGAACTGTCAGGGATCTCATACTGTCTAGGGCAGCCAGAGCACAGGAATGACGGCCGAACTACTGAAAACTCACTTGCCAAAACACAATCAATCTATTGAATGAATGCTAATTCCCGAAGCATAAGTTCCCATGTCATTTTTTCTTGGTTCTTTATGCCAAGTAGGAATTCAGTGACTGTTTGAGTTCTTTCAGCAGAAAAATACTAAAGAGGCATCAGATCACGCACTCTCCCAGGGCTCCATGGGCACACTGTGAGAGCTCCAGCCTCAATAGAAAAGGGAAAATGGAAGCCTGGTCCTTCTCTACGCTGTGGAAAGCCTCTGATCCGACTCTGTTCCAAATGACCTTGGTCACTGTTTTGTTCACTACTGTTGTTGGTGAGTAATGGGAAAATAGACCAGATTGTCACTGCACAGCTGAGTTAATCAAATACCTTATTTTAATAGATGTCTTACAGATATCTATCTTTAACATTGTGTGATGTCTTTGACCACCTGGAATTTAGGGAAACTTGCTATGAACCCACAAAAAGACTGTTTTGTAGACCCTCCTGATGCTCCCTTTTAGATTCTTCTCCAGGAATCTGCAAACAATCTAACTAACCGTGACGTGGAGTAAATATATACTGTCTGCCAAGCTGACCACGCACTTTCACTGGCTGTGTGGTTATTCAGAGTGCTGAGAGTGCTCGTAGCATAGTGCTAGGGCTTCTGGAAGATAACTTAGTGCTTTAATTCTTGCCAGGGAGGTCGAATTAAATTTTATTTCTCAAGTATTTAATGTATTCTCTATCTCGTGATGCTTTTGAAAAACATTTTCATTTTTATTTTCACATAGATAATCTATTCACAATCCAAAAAGTCCAAAGGGACATAAAGAAAATGCCTCCTTTCCATCCCTGACTCCTGAGGCATCTAATCTTACATCATGCCATCATGAGCAAAAAATACGTTCCTTCTAAGGCAAGAGGTAGGAATTTATGGGATGGCTTAGATCCCTGCATTC